TATCCCCATGCAAAATTTCGTAAGGATCGGGCCATAAATGCGATCTGTATATGATATCCTGATATCCCAACTACTTAGTTTTGTTAGCTGTAGAAATATTACCAAATGTTTAATTCAAAATGAAAATATGCCAAAAATATGACAAAATTGAAAAAGATATGAGAAAATTTTACAAAATCAATATTTTCATCTTTAGAGAGATATTTTTATGCGATTTTTTAGACGTTTTTTCTTTCCTGCCAAGAGGCCATTCTGAATTAATGAGAACTGTCGAAATCAGTTCAGCCGTTCTCGACATATATGAAATCTTTCAAACATATCTTCTTTGATAGACATATATATCGCACATATTTTGCTATATATCTTATTTGTTGGATCTTAACATCAATGTAAAGATCAGAAGTAACCTTATCATGGCTTTGTGATTTCACCGGGATTTAAAATACTCGCGGTTTAATGAAAAATTTTGAATTTTTTGAACAAAAAAGATATGGTCTATTTTACCCGCTAAATATTATCCGATGACCACCCAATTTGGTAGGCTTCTTCCCCGCCCTAAACTCTAGCTACATGCGAAATTCCGCGTCGATCGGTCTATAATTGCGACCTGTATAGCTACTGCAAAATCCGACATTTTTTCAGTATTTGGTCCATTTCAACACCTAAACATTTGGCGATAATCTCCAAAAGAAATAGGCTTCTATTCTGACCCTAACCCCACCTCCATTCTAAATTTCGTGAAGATCGGGCCATAATTGCGACCTGTAGAGTGATTACAAATTAACATGGACAGACGGACAGACGGACAGACGGACGGACGGACATATATAGCTAGATCGACTAGGAAGATCCATATATACTTTCCTATATGGGAAACCAATATTTCGAGGTGTTACATAAATTCTGGCCCAATCAAACTTATAATACCCCCAACACATAGTGTTGTAGGGTATAAAAATTACATTAGAAATGTTTGTCAAACTGAACAAATAGTGAATTTTGAAAAGTTTGAATTCTTTTTTTTTTTTTTGGAATAACGACCTTTGACCGGTGTCAAAGACACAGGGAATATTTGCGTGGTTTTCCAAAGATAGGTCTCCAGCAGCTAGAAATTTTTTTGGATACTCTTTATGGGTAGAAGTCCTTATAAAGGTCTTCTATGACTCATATTAGATTAAAGTCTCTTCAAATGTCTATTTTGATACACAAACGTTTTCCACAAGTCTTCCGCGGATAGAAATCTGAAATCAAGCCCTTTATATGATTGCAGGGCATATTATACTTCTACCGGTCATCTGCCTTCATATCTTCAATATTTTTAAAAAATATCAATTTTAATTGTCAGATTTTTAATGAACAATAACCTCGAAACCTTACTGATATCAAGTTCGCCCACCCATCAGCCAAACAACTAACCATTCTGTCAAAACATCAGCATGGCATTCAAGTTGAACTGTCAAAATCAAGTCAAACACAAACACACACACGCACATATATATCAAATGCAAGGAAAAATCTGTGTGTGAGGTACCGTTACCACTGCTCATATTGCTGCAGATTCCATTTTTGTTGGGGAGTCATGTTGCGTTATGGATGAGATATTTAAGCGATATTTGTGGAACTAGGTATTGGGGGCAGGATGCCCCGCAGAGTTCCCCAAACGACAGCAACAACATGAAATCACAACTATTGTGAGGTTTCAATTACAAGTCGCATACAGTATAAGTATCGTCATCATGCCGAATATGTTACTGTTGATGCGACTAAATTTAGTAAATGGTTGAGGATGCCATCTAATGAACTTGTCATAAAGTAATAGTTAAACATGTTGTTAGTTTTGGGCAATACACCCACCAGATGCTGTGATAACAAGTAGGGTGTCTGCAATGGGTTTTATTGGTTCGGTTAAAGTAGTCAATTGTAAGCAAGTTCAAGAAGTTTGTATTTAGAACATATGCAAATAAGTTAATACGATTAAGTTAACATTAAAATTGATCACTGACAACGGAAATGGATTTGGAAAACAATATATAGAAGGCAAAAAACCTATAGAAGGTCTTGTATTTAAAGATGGGCTATTGCAGATCAGCTATTTAAAAACCCTTCATTATAATTAGAAGTCCTTAAGAAGACTTCTTTCTCCTAACTACCTCTAAGAATTATTTCATCTATAAATATCAAAGATATGAAGCTGTTAAATCAAATAATAGTTCGTTTAAATTTTTGGTAAAAAATGTTGGTAAGAAGTCATTGGGAATAGGTTGTTAAAAACCCCGATTTTCGTCCAGATGTTTGTGACAAAATTTCTGTTTTGTCTTCCACGATTTATAGCCAGGAAGTTCCTGAAAACATGTTTTTAAAAACACGTTTTTTTGGAAAGGAGGTCCGCTCAGAAAAACTTTTTAAAAGATCTACGTTTTTCTGCCCGAAAGTTTTTGAAAATATATTATTTTGGGTTACGAAATCTTGAAAATAGGAAAACCAGGAAAACCTTAAAAAACCTTAAAAATATTCTTGAAATATGCACGATTTTTGTCTAGAAGGCCCTCGCGAAATATCTGTTTAAAATAATCGTCAAAAATTCACGATTTGTCCTTACCAATAAATTAATCCACGAATTAGAAATATTTTAAAATTTCGCGGTTTATTTAGTCGGGAGAAAAATATTTAAAAACATCTAAAAAAGCTGTAAGTTCGGCCGTGCCGAAATTTGAATATCCTACAGCATTTGGAACGAATTTGGCAATTTCCAAAAAAATAAAATCCCTTACAAATTCTGTTAAAATTTTACAAAAATACCGAATGTAGCAGTTATATTATTGTCTATATGACGACGTGGACCTGCATAGGCAACTTTTGTCATAAGCCATTACAATATTCAGATGCGAAACAAAAAAAAAAAACAGTGAATAATGTAGCTAAAATCATCAAAATACCGAATATCGGAAGGTACCGTTATATGGGCGCTATACGAAAACGTTGACCTGCATAGACAATTTTCTGTCTTAGGCTGTAGAATCCATTACGAACTTTAAATACTAAAGTTGAAACAATTCCGGCAAATAATGTCGCTAAAATCATCATAATACTGAAAGTAGGGAGGTACCATTATATGGGGGCTATACCAAAACGTGGATTTACGTGGCCCATCTTCAGTCCTGCAAACATAATATACATTTATCAACCTATTTCATTTAGTTCGGAAGCTAGAGAGATTTCCGCAGACTACATATAACTTTATTCTGGTCAAGAATATATTTGTGGGGTCTAAAATTTATATTTCGAGGTGTTATAAACGGAATGACAAACTTAATATACCCTCCATACTATGGTGGAGGGTATAAAAATCAACAATTGAAGAAATTTGAAATATGTATTAAAAATCCTTTAATTAAATAGACAGGGGACGCTTAAAAATATTTAAAAAAATCATTGATTAAATAAACGGGATTTTCTTGACATTTTTTGAAGATATCCATGATTCTTGGTACAGAAGTTTAGAAAACAACCCGACGATCATGGAAATATTAAAAATTAATCAGTCGGCAAATCCTTGAAAATTTTTCTGCAATCCATGCAGGACACGAAGTCCTTGAAAATCCAAGATTTTACGGCAGGTATTAGGATCATACATTTGGAGATGAGACGAAAAGTCGATGGTGATGATTTCCTGCTATTGTCGATGTTTTGAATATCAAATTTGAAAAAAATATGTTCGAAAAAATGTGGCTAAAATCACCAAAATACCCAGGAAATCATAGTCCTATCCCAGCAGAAATAGGTTTTGCCACAGAAAACAGAAACCATTACAAACTTTACATACCGAATTTTTAACGATTCCGCTGAAAAATGTTTCTAAAATCATCGGAGTACCGAATATCGGTAGGTATCGGCATATGGAGGTTATAAAAATGTTCAGTCACAGTAGGAGGAATTCATTACGAACCCCTAAGTACCGAATTTGACACAATTTGGTTGGAAAAGATGACTAAAATAAAAAAAATATTGGGAGATACCGGTCCATACGAAAACGTGGACCAACATGACCCATTTATGAACATAATCTGCCTACTGACAAAATACACATAAATATGTGCTACAATTTCGTCTTCCCAAAGGTAGGAAGACATTGCTAAACATTTAATATACCCTTGATAGTATGTTAGAGGACATAAAAATTTAAAAAAAAATAAATAAAAAACAAGCCACAGTAGTCAAAAATCCTTAAATACTTAAAAAAAAATATTAAAAAAAAATTCAAACTCTATAAAAAATCACATTTCTATATGTGATTTTACTTTTAAAAAAATGCCTTACAAACTTAAAGATTATGGGACTAAAATCACTAGAAAAAATCAAAAATCTCAAAAGAAGCCAACTGCAACTCTCTAATATTGTGAAAAATACCAATTTTTAGAAATTCCAAGATTCTGAAAGAAGACCTTCTATTTATAGACGACTCGGGCAGGTCATAAGTCCACAGAAGACATTTAACGAGTCTTCTACCCCATAACGAATTACAAAAAGTCAATACAATTTTGCAATATTAAGGATCCATAAAATATTTTCTGTTTATAAAACACCCATATTCCCATATGAGCTATTTTTTCATTGGAATAAGGTCCTGTATAAGGTCCTTTGTCTTTAGAATACCTATAAAAACGAGTTATATCTTCAAAAGTGTTAAAGAAGCTCCTCTGTTTATAAAATAACCCTTTATGGGTCCTCAATTCATAGAATATGTGTGAAAGGTTATTCCGTCCTATCACATCCTCCTTCTTTCAACTATATCCTCTTGGGTAGTCTTGTGGTTTTTCACTTTCAATTTCAAGTTAAATTTTCAATTAATAGTACGAATCGTTGTCAGCCAGTATTTACTTATCCACACTCAAACACATACAAATAAAATAAGGAATAATTGTTTGGCTCTGTGGGTGGCGTATTTTCGAGAGAATAAAAAATTCTTTGTTGTTGTTGTTAAATTTTGGGGGAAAACTCACCTGATTACCAAAAACACCAACACTGCAGGCCGAAGAGACCTGATCGGGACCAAACCAAACGGCAGCTAAACGGGCAGGTAACGACAGAATGCACACCTACGGTAGATGAGAAATAGAAGGGATGTAGGGCGGGTTATAAAATATCACGTCATCACATCGCCAGACAATTGCGAGTGGAGGACAATGGCAAAGGAATTAATTCCATTCGTTTGACAAACGGCAAATAATGGTTGTCATTTGACATAGAATTGAAAAGTGTTTTTCAAATCGGTTGTCGAGAGTGAACCTGCCACTTGACTTAAATGAGGTTTTCATGTTGATTTTTTGAAAAATTGAAATTCATGTGCCGCCGGCAATAGATGGAACTTGGCTATGAATGATAGTCAACTCACCTGGGATAACGCCACTATGCTTTGACCAGCAAAGCCAACCATAAATAAATCCGGTTTAACCGAAAACACTTTTACCCAGGCACCTATGCAGGTGCCAAATGCCCCCACCAGTGCTGTGATACGTAATCCCTGAAATTGCAAAAGAATGTCGAATGAGAGGGTGTGTGTGTGAGAGAGAGAGAGATAGAGAAATCAATTTTAAATCACACATTTTTGGGGAATTTAAATGAAAATTTTTGAAATATTTATTAAAAATTAACGTGGATGCGAGGCTAACTTACCATTTTATCTAAAAACCAACTGCCGGGAAATATCAGTGGTATATATAATATCATGTATATCATGGATGTCCAATCGATCCATTTGTCGCTGACGCCATAGTATCTGGAAAAATAAAAAAAAAACAAAAATTTTAAAATCAACAATAATGGCGTAATTATGTTGCCACAGTGAAATAACCACGGAATCTGTTCTAAAAATTTAAATAAAAAATACAAAAGAATAAAAATTGAAAAAATTGATGGGTGAGATGCAAAAACTGCAGCCAACTTCAGACTGCTGTCATTTCAAAGCCACTTGTCCGACAGCTGTTAAAATTATTCCAGTGACAGCTCATTATATTGTTTACAAGTGTACAAAAGCATTTTGGTGAGAATTTTCCGGAACAAAAGTTATTTGTGATGGAACTCAAGCGTGATAGAGCGACTTCTTTATATTTGGCTGGAAAACCACAAATGGCTATCGTTAGAGCACTCCACCATTTAAATGTGAATAAATCTTTTGTGTCTCGGAACATCGCTCGTCCGTGATACTGGTAGCATAGCCCGACCTCAAGGAAGTGGACGGAAGAAAGCAGCAGCATCAGCAGAAATAGTTCGAAAAGTAAAGAAGCGACTTGATCGAGCTGAAAATATCGCAAAACTCCATTCGGCAAATATTGAAAAATGAGCTCGGGGTAAAGCCATTGAAATTCCAAAAATTGCAAGGACTTACATCGCAACGGACATAAAAAAGACTCAAAAGGGCTAAAGGGTTGCTTCGCTTGGCTGAAAGTGATGAACTGCCGAATTTGGTTTTCTCCGATGAGGAAACATTCGTTGTCCAGCAGTTTGTAAACAAACACCTACCAAAGAGGTCAGCTGAAAATGTGCACCTTCGGTTGGCCACCAGAACTCAAGCGCCGGCCATGGTGATGGTGTGGGCCGCCATAACAGCCGATGCTCGTTTTCCGCTCGTGTTAATCGACCATGGCATCAGAATAAATGCCGAATATTATCGCGAAAATATTCTGGAGGGTGTATTAAAGCCTTTGGCACGCAAACATTTTGGCCGCAGACCTTGGACATTCCAGCAGGACTCAGCACCATCTCACTCTGCACTCGCCACCCAAAAATGGTTACAAAATGAGGTTCCTCGCTTCATTTCCAGCGCACACTGGCCACCAAAATCTCCGGATACCAATCCGTTGGACTATTGTGTCTGGAGTATTTTGGAAAGCACTAAAAAATACCAAAGGGTCGATCACCTCAAACAAACGCTTCGCCGGAATGGGTCAAAATACCGCAGAGCAACATTCGGGCAGCGTGGATGGTTTCGTTGGCCTATATCATTTGACGGAGCCTATAAAAACTCCTTCGACGGAGCCTATAAAGGCTCCTTTGACGAAGCCTATAAAGGCTCCTTTGACGGACCCTATAAAGGATCGTTTGACGGAGCCTATAAAGGCTCCTTTGACGGAGCCTATAAAGGCTCCTTTGACGGAGCCTATAAAGGCTCCTTAGACGGAGCCTATAAAGGCTCCTTTGACGGAGCCTATAAAGGCTGCTTTGACGGAGCCTATAAAGGCTCCTTCGACGGAGCCTATAAAGGCTCCTTCGACGGAGCCTATAAAGGCTCCTTTGACGGAGCCTATAAAGGCTCCTTTGACGGAGCCTATAAAGGCTCCTTTGACGGAGCCTATAAAGGCTCCTTTGACGGAGCCTATAAAGACTCATTTGAAGGAGCCTATAAAGGCTCCTTTATAGACAGACAGCAACATTGATTTTGTCACACATGTTCGCTGTTCCCAGAGCCAAAGAGCGACAGACAAATAGACACCCGGCTGTGCGGGTCGCAAACAATTTTGATATAAATGCTTCTTTGACGAAGCCTATAAAGGCTCCTTTGATGGAGCCTATAAAGGGTCCTTTGATCAATTCGAACAAATCTAAACTTATTCTAAAATTTGATGCTATTTCCGACATTTTTTGCTCAACAAAATTTAAAAAAAATGTAAAAGTTATGGCTTTTGACTTTTTTGCATTTTTTTATCTCACCCTGTATTTTACTGAAAATGCTTAAAAATAAATCCTCCAAAAATATTTCATATTCCGATATTTTTATTCTAAGTAAATTAAATGGCTTGATTCTGCCCAAGTTATAACTCATCAAGTCAATATTAATCACATCATCATTGTCTTTTCCACAAAGACTCCCAGACTCCGCCGCACTTTCGCCTGGCAATGCTCGGAGACATTATTATTCTTAATAAGTATTATCCGATTCATTTTCGACATTGTCGTCAGCATCTTTATCACCGTCAGTTTCAACATCAGGTGGTGCTGCTGGTGGTGTATTTATTTTTCATTAACGTAATGATGGTGTTATTGAAATGCTGATACAAACCGAGAGACTGACAGACAGACGTATTGACAAACTGCCACACAGACAGACATGGAGTATCAAATATTCTCCGAAATCCAACAACCGAATAATAACAACACCACCACAAGGAAACCACACACACAAATGAAAACTGGAATCCATCATCGGCATTCCGACACAATCACTGCCACAAAATGTTGCCGAAAAAAAACTCCCACCTTGTTATTCCCAAATAATTGTTAATTATTTTAATAACATCCTTAATGAGAAAATTCTCAGCGTAAATATTTATCAGCAGCATCGGTACTCAGGTGAGAACAAAAACAAAAATTCGAAAATGAAAGTCAAATACGAAATGACTATCGCGGATAAATACCAAGGAAATAATTAATGTCTTTCATTTCAAATTGACAATGAAAAGTGGAGGAGAAAGCTTCTTAAAGGAGGATTTGTGAGTGTGGGAGTTTGGAGAGGGAAGGTTGTTGGTTTTTCTTTGCAATGACATTGGAAGTATTTTAATATCAATTATGGACTTTTTTTACAACACAGTGGTGTGAAAGACCTTAAAATAAATGACAAAAAAAAAACAATACCATAGATTTGAAATCAATTTAAAAATCTTAAAAAATAAGTTCACGACGATTGGTCGATTGTATGTAGGAAAAAAAAAATTCAAAAAATCTCAAAAAAATAATCGGAGATTTTTTTGGAATTTTTTCGTACATATAATCGACCAATCGTGGTGAATTTTTTAAGATTTTCAAATAAATTTCAAAAACCTATATTTGTTTTTTTTTTTTTTTGTAATTTGAATGCCTATTATTCCTATCTCTTTAAAATAAATCTATGCTTAAAAAATCCAAATCTGTAATTGAAGGTTATAAGCCTTATATTTCTTGAAAAAAATCTGAGAATTGTTGAAAATATCGTAAAAAATGTTTAAGTAATAAAATTAAGGATTTTCCCTCTGATAGTGCTTGAAAAAAAATTATTTAAAAGAAGTCCAAGAAAAATTTGTCTTACAAATCCAAGCCTATACCTCTAAGAGTCCTCATAAATATTCCAAAAAAATGCACGTATTTTCACTTTAAAATCTCTAAAAAATCTTTTAAAAAATGCGAGCCAATACCTGGAAGACCTTAAAAAATCTTCCTAAAATCCACTCCTATACTATATCAGTTCTTGAAAAAATTCTTCTCAAATACCCACACCTATAACATTGGAAGTCTGCGAAGAATTCTTTTTCAAAACCCAGGCCTATATAATTGAGAGTCCCAATAATTATTGTTAATATTCGTGACTATACGTTTGAGGGTCCTCGAAAACTTCTTCTTAAAATACACGCCTTTTCCATTGAAATCAATGAAAGAGTCTTTTTAATAATGCATACCTATACCCATAAGAGTCCTTGAAAATTTCTTCTTAAATACCCTTGAAAGTCCTTGAAGAACAATTTTTAAAATTCACGCCTATACCACTAGAAGTCTTAAAAAAACACCCTTCAGAGTCCTTGAAAATTTCTTCTTAAATATCCACCCTATACCCTTGAAAGTCCTTGAAGAATAATTTTTAAAATCCACGCCTATACCCTAGAATCTTCTAATCTAAGGACCCTTCAGAGTCCTTAAAAAATCTTCCTTAATATCCACTCCTAAACCCTTGGAAGTTCTTAACGAATTATTTTTAAAAACCCAAGCCTATAGCCTTGGAAATTCTTAAAATTGAAAGTCTGTGAAACATTTTTATTAAAAATCCACGCCCATACACTTGGAAGTCCTTCAAAGCGCTTTAATATATTATCCATCTCTATATACTTCAGAACACTCAAAAATCATTCTTAAATATTCGTGACTTTGCTATTGAGAGTCCTCAAAAAATTCTTCTTCACAATCACGTCTTTGACCTTGAGAGACATTGAAAAATGTATCCTAAAATCCACAGTTTTTCTCTTGAAGATCCCTGAAAAATTATTTTAAAAATGCGCGTCTATACCTCTAAGAGTCCTTGAAAATTTCTTTATAAATATCCACCTCAAACACTTGGAAACCCATGCCTATACCCTTGAGAATCCGTTTTAAAAAAATAGGAATTTCATAAAAAATGTTTTAAAAAATCCACGTCTATAAACATGAAAATAAAAAAATCTGTTTTAAAGGTCCATGCCTGTATCCTCGAAAGTCCTTGAATAAATCTTCAAAAATGTCACGCCTGTATACCAGGAAGTTCTTGGAAAAATCTTCTTAAAATCCACGCCCATACTCCATTTTAATTAAAAATCCCCTCCTTTAACCTTGAGAGTCCTGGTAAATTTTTTTCCTAATAATCCACGCCTATATGCTTCAGAGTCCTGAAAAAATTCCTCCAAAAATTTACGCTTGCAGCTCAAAAGCTTTACTAAAATCTTTCAAACAAATCCATGATTAATGCTGTGATAGCCTTGCAAGAAATCTTTCTTAAAAAAACTATGATTAAAAATAGCTTGGACATTCATTGAAAACAGTATTCAAGAATTAGGTTAACACCATTGAGTCCTTAATTTTTTTTAAACATCAAAATCAGTCCTTTAACAAATATTTAGTCCTCGAAAAAAAAACTTTTAAAAATATTAGATTATGGGCTTGATAGTTTTAAAAACAATCTGCCTAAAGTTTGTTTGTAAAATAGGTTCTGAAAAAAATTTAAATCATACCCAAGTCCTGAGAAAAAAATAATTTTCTTAATCATAAGTTTTACACGGAAACCTATAAAAATAGGTAAGAACCCTGAAATTTAACATTTATTTATTTTTTAGGAATATTATCTGTTATTCATGTTTCTCCAATACGTTGGGCGCCAAATGACTAACGATGATTTTGAATTGAGTTTTAAGCGTAAATGAAAAAAATATTTAAAAATCTACCATATGGCTCTGATAGTCCTAAAAACAACTCTTTCAAAAAATTCAAGTCTATGAGAATTTTTTTTGGAATTTTTTCGTACATATAATCGACCAATCGTCGTGAATTTTTTAACATTTTCAAATAAATTTCAAAAACCTATGATATTTTTTTAAAATAAATCCCTGATTAAAAAAATCCAAATCGGAAATTGATGGTTATAAGCCTTATATTTCTTGAAAAAAAAAATCAGAATTGTTGAAAATATCATTAAAAAATTTAAGTAATAAAATTAAGGATTTTCCCTCTGATACTCCTTAAAAAAATATTTAAAACAAAGTTCAAGATAATTTCGTCTTACAAATCCAAGCCTATACCTCTAAGAGTCCTCATAAATATTCCAAAAATAAAAACGCATTTTCACTTTAAAATCTCAAAAATTATTTTTAAAAATGCGAGCCAATACCTGGAAGTCTAAAAAAATCTAAAAAATTCACGTCTATGCTTCTGAAAGTCCTAGACTGCAGCTCTGATAATCCTTAAAAAAACATTTAAAATTTTGCCTTTTAGATTTTAGTCCTTAAAAAATATTTTTAAAAATTTCAAAATTTTAGATCTCGTGGCTTCTGGAAAAAATCTTCTTAATATATCAATGATTGAACTCTGATAACTCTAGAATCAATCTTCGAAAAATTCACGACTATGAATCTGGTAGTCTAAATATAAAATATTAAAATATATTTTTCTAAAATTCTTTATAAAATTATTATTTTTCAAAACTCTTGATCTTTTTTTACCTATAAAACCAATGTGCATCTCAATACAACAGCCACATAATTAACTTCCTACGCCTCATTAACATTGTTGACATTCATGAGAACAAGAGAGCGAGAGAGATCCTTAAAGTATAAAAGCCATTTTCAACAATCACTCAAACTTTCACTTTTAAGCTCAATGACAGACTGCGTTAAGGCCAAGTCGTTATTATGTCTGGATTGTTTACCAAACGACTCATGGTGTTTATGTAATTTATTAGGGGTCATGTTCCGGCATCAGTTTTAAAATATCCAAGTAAAAAAAACACTTCAAGGAACTCATGAATACCTTTTTTTTTTGGTTCCCAAACAGGTGTTGTTTATTTTTACACGCTTAGACTTTTAAATGCGGTTAGATAACAGCCGTTTCAACAGCAAACCCAAACCCAGAGAAAAGAAATGAAATGAAAATAAAACATTGAAATGCTGGAACTTACCGACTGACAATATTGTTGATAATACTGTATTGGATCCATTGCATGGAATTTGAGGCTGAGTAAAATGCAAACAATATTAAAACGGCCCAGCGGCGTTTGTACACTTTGAATTCTGCAAAGAGAGAGAGTGAGAGAGGAAGAGAGAGAGGAGAAGAGATGAAAAACCAAACAAGGCAAGAAATAAAGTTTATTCATGGTTTGTTGGTAATAAAAATTAAAAGAACAAATTTTTATATAATTTTGTGAAGAACAATAAGCAGAAAACTTTGTTATTCCAAACTCGCACACACACACACATACGCGAGCAAATACCCCCTACCCCCACCATTCGTCCTCACCACATGTTTAGCCAAAGAATGGCTCACAATTCGCCTATTTCCTCTTTGGTTTTGCCTTAAAATAAACGGGGGAAACTTTTATGGCTGCTGGATGCCGCCAGAGTCTTTCTGTCTAACTGCCTCTCTGTTCTTGAAATACAAGAGGAACAGAAAATTTTCATTGAAGCATTGCCTCCACCACCACCAGAGAAGCATTGCTCCAGCAGATAGTCAAGTAATTGCACTTTTTTACCAAAAAAAAGCAAAACTAATGTAAAATAACACAAAAGCCAACTAAAAGTTATGGCTAACCAGGCATCTACGAGGAACTATGAAAGCCGTTTTTTCCTTATCCTTCTCAGCATCAGCGTTTTTTAATATTAACCACACACAGAATCCGATGGATATGAAAGTAGGAAAAAATTTTGAAAAGAAAAATTAATTTTAGCAAAAGATGCGGATAAATGGCTTCTAATTTGTGAAAATTGATTTAACAATGATTAGTTTTGGCTGAACAGCTGTTTAACAAGTGATTAAATTCTAGGAAGAGAACATTTAATCACGGGTCAACTGGTTTGGGAAATAGTTTTTCTTTTTTTTTTAGGTGAAGGAAAGTTCAGCCAAAGTTTTCTAAGTTAAAATACTTATTTTATTGCTGGTTAGAGGGAAAAAGTGAGAAAGTGATTTTGAATAAAATTGCAGTTTTTTGTTATATTTTTTTGGAGTAGCATGACTAGTGAGCATTTTATTATATAACTATGTGGAAGGTGAAAAATGTAGAAAAGCGACTAAAAGATATCTTATTTTAAAATAGTCTTTTAGACTTTATTATTTATTTATTATTTAAAAAGTTAAAAAAAAAAATTATAAAAAATTTATATTTTAAAATATTTTTGTTAAATTTTAAAATTTAATTTCAAATTAAAATAAAATTCCTTGAAAATCCTAGATTTGTTTTAAAAAAAGTCATTGGAAATATTTATCATTGAAAAATCGTATATATTTTCAAAAAAAAAAAAAAAAAATATTTAAAAAATCTACGATTATTTAAAAATAGTTTTTTTTTTTTTGCAAAAATATTGCGAAGTGTGAAATTTGAACAGAATCGAATTTTTATTTCGTATTTTATGAGAGTCATAATTATTCAACATTTTGACCCATTTCTGGGTCAAATGTGATTACAATGTGCCAAGTTTGGACCATATCGAATACTCCATTCGAGAGTTATGCGCACCGACCAGATGGACGGGCGGACCAGCACCCCTTGATCGACACCCCAAATATTATCAAACGGATTTGGCACAAAGAAACTTAGGCTCGAAAACCGTTATTTTTATGAGGTACGTTTTGGACGTATCAAATGTTATATACCCTCTGTGGCCATATGGCTGGGGGTATGAAAAAACATTGTTTTTTTTAAAGACTTTGAATAGTATTTAAAAAAAATGATTTCTATAAAAGTTAATTAAAATATCCAAAAAAAAGAACAGGAGATTTCGTGAAAAATTTTATTTATATAAAATCCAAAAAAAAAAGGCTAAAATGTCTATGAAAATATTAGAAAAATCCTAGATATTTCTTTTAAAAAATAAAAAAATCCACGGGAAAGGAAGTCTTTGAAAACTAAATATCTTTTAAGTCTAAGGCTGTCCTTAGAAAAAAACATTAAAAAAATCCACATTTACGGCAAAGGAAATCCTTTAAAAAATCATGGCGCAGGAGGCTCTTGAAAATAGAAAAAATATATTTAAAAAAAGTCTCATTATGACAAGGAAGTCCTTGAAGAAATATCCTTAAAATATATTTTAAAAAATTAAAATCTAAAAGATTTATTTTTTTGATTTTGATTTATTAATTTTAAGGCTAATGTAGGTCTTTGAAAGATATTTTCTTAAAAATCCACATTTATAGGAAAGGAAGTAGTTGAAAAAAATATTCATGGCTGGGAATGTTCTTTAAACAATATTTTTTTGCAAAAAAATTTCTTTTTTATGGCTAAGGAAGTTCTTGAAAAAATACAAATTTATAGCTCTGAATGTCCTAGAAAGATATTTTCTTAAAAATCCACATTTATAGCAAAGGAAGTCGTTGGACAAATATTGATGGCTGGGAATGTTTTTTAAAAAATATTTTTTGCAAAAAAAAATCTTATTTATGGCTAAGGAAGTTCTTGAAAAAATACAAATTTATAGCTCTGAATGTCCTAGAAAGATATTTTAAAAAATCCATGTTAATGATAACGGAAATTCTTGAAAAATAATTGAAAAAATCCTTGTCCTTGGGAAAATATCGGAAAATCCAAATTTATGGCAAAGGAAGTTTTTTGAAACAATATTAAAAAAAAATGTTCTTGCCTAAAGATGTTCTTGAGTAAATAGTACTTTTTTAAAAAAATCTTATTTATGCCCAAGGAAGTTCTTAAAAACATACAAGTTTATAGCCCTCAAAGATCTTGAACAAATGTTTAAAATTCACGTTTCTTGGAAATAAGTCCGTGAAAAAAAATTGAAAAAAAATATTCCTGGCTAAGGATGTTCCTGAATAAATAGTATATTTTAAAAAATCTCATTTATGGCCAAAGAAATTTCTTGAAATTTCTTGAAAAAATTGTAAAAATCCACGTTTCTTTAAGTCTAAGGTAGTCCTTGGAAAAATACAAAAAAAAAACACATTTATGGCAAAAGAAGTCCTTGAAAAAAATATTTGGAGCAAAGGATATTCTTGAAAAAATAATATTCTTTAAAAATTCTAGGGAAGTCCTTGAAAAAATATTTTTGAAAAATTCCAGTTGTAATGTCCTTAAAAGACAATCCAAAAGATTTTTTAAACAAATCATTTGTGATCAAGGAAGTCCTTAAAAATTCACTTTTAAGACTAAGAAAGTCCTGAAAAATGTTTTAAAAAAATCCCCACTCATGGTAAATGAAGTCCTGGAAAATAGGTTTAGAATTCCTCGTGGAATTTGTTAAAATTACGTTTTCAAGGACTTTCAAATCATATTCTAGGTTTTTTTTAATTTTTTTTTTGACAAATGGAGGTGTTGAAAAACATTAAAAAACATAGAATATGATTTAAAAGTCCTTGAAATCGTAGTTTTAATAAATTCCACATTTACGGATCTGAAAGTCATTGAAATATACTCCACAGTTATAGCAAAGAAAGTCCTTAAAAACTCACTGTTGAGACTAAAAATGTCCTTGAGCTTCGTAGCCTTTATTAAAGTCTGATATATACTGCAAACCTGTATTGAAATATGAGAAATATCCACCTCGTTTTGGGCTCGATAAATCTTTTAACGTTTTGACAAATATTTCAATAAACAATGGTTCATTTAATTTCTATAAAAACAATAAATTTTAAAATTTTAAAAATTTAAAAAAAAATTAAAAATTAAAAAATTTAAAAATTGTCAATAATTTATAAATGTTTTCGTATTTTTCGTTTTCTAAATATTTTGTTTTTTATCATTGTTTTTTCTTACAGAACTGCACCACAACTACTAACCATATGGTTATGATGCTATTTTTGGCACAATGTTTATTTTGTAGTAGCCTAAAAGTATGCAGCAGTCATAAAAAGATTGCCACACCACCACCTTTGCCCATGGTGAAGGTGACGTTGTACATCACAGTTGCTTGTATTTGTTTCTATGGCTGTTTGTGTTGTTGTCTTGCTAGTTGGCTCACTCTGCTAGGCTTGCATGGGGAAAAAGAAAGATTACATCTCGCACAAAAAGGTAAGGTCAAGTGCTTTTTGATTTCCTCGGAAAACCGAAAGTAAAGAAAGAAAGAAAGAAAAAAAAAAAAACGAAAGGAACAAAAGATGCCATGGCGTTGAGGTACAACCAGATAATAGCTGCTGCTACACTGATGACAACGACTGCGACATCATCACCATGAACGATGGTGATGAGCGTTTTGTTGCCTTTTTTTGTTTTGTTTTTGTTTCTGGCCGTCTTTGCTCAGGTCAAGTTTTGTTCAAACATAAAAACACTCGGCCTGGGTGAATGGGACAAATTGAGCGAAACCAACACATCGGCGGCAGAAAAGGGAAAATGTTATGAAATGGAAAAATAACACTTCTCAAGGGGTGGAGTGAGAGAACAGTGGTTGGGAAATGTAAAATTAGGCAAATATCAAGAGCAAAGAAGATAAATAGGGGAGATTTTTATTTTTTAGATAAACAGGAGATACGGATTAAAATGTCAATGGGAAGAATATTCTAATATGTAATTACACTGTGCGACAAAATTCATTTTTTCAATATTTACAGGAAACCCCCAGCAGATTATCAAATAAGAGCTAAAAAATAGAAGACACATGTATCAGCGTTTTGAAATTTTATATCGCAGAGAAAACTAAATAGCGAGGAGAAGTTCTCCCTTTTCCAAAAATTTTGAAATTTTTGATAAAAATTCTTTGGGATCCGGCTATCACCCTGTATACCTAAAATACAAGGTGATATGAAAAAACTGCAACCAACTTCAGACTGAAGTCATTTCTAAGCCACTCGTCCGACAGCTGTTAAAATTATTCCAGTGACAGCTCATTATATTGTTTACAAGCGCACAAAAGGATTTTGGTGAGAATTTTCCAGAAAAAAAAGTTATTCGTGATGGAATTAAAGCGGGATAGTGTGATTTCTCGTGTCTCGTACCATCGCTCGTTACCTAGCTCGTGAAACTGGTAGCGTAGGCCGACGTCAAGGAAGTGGACGGAAGAAAACAGCAACATCAGCAGAAATAGTTCGAAAAGTAAAGAAGCGAGTTGATCGAAACCCGCGTCACAGTGGCTCGTGAGCTGGCATTCGGCAAATATTGAAAAATGAGCTCGGGGTAAAGCCATTGAAATTCCAAAAAGTGCAAGAACTTACACCGCAACTGAGAGAAAATAGACTCAAAAGAGCTAAAGACTTGCTTCTTTTGGCCGAAAATGATGAACTGCCGAATTTTGGTTTCTCCGATGAGAAAACATTCGTTGTCCAGCAGTTTGTTCGTTGTCCAGCAAACAAAATGATCGCGTTTACTTGCCGAAAAGGTCATCTGAAAATGTGCACCTTCGGTTGGCCACCAGACACCAGAACTCAAGCGCCGGTCATGGTGATGGTGTAGGTCGCCGTAACAGCCGATGGTCGCTCTCTGCTCGTATTAATCGAGCGTGGCATCAGAATAAATGCCAAATATTATCGCGAAAATATTCTGGAGGGTGTATTGAACCCTTGGACACACACAAACATTTTGGCCGCAGACCTTGGACATTCCAACAGGACTCAGCACGCGCCAAAAATGTATATCCTCAGCCAATGATCGTTCATTTTTTAGTCAATGATTCTTGAATGATTTTGTAGAAGTAAACTAAAGTTCTCCACAAGTTTTTAAAGCCTTATGTTATTAAAAGTTGGAACATTTTTGGTCAAGGCTATATAAAAGCCTTCAAAAGGTTTGGCCCAAACGGTTTGTTATTAAATGTTGGGGTCTCTTTGGCCCAAGCCTTTTGAAGGCTCTTATATAGCCCTGACCAAAGATGCTCCAACTTTTAATAACATAAAGCTTTAAGCACTTGTGGAGAACTTTAGTTTACTTCTAGAAATCATTCAAGAATCATTGACTAAAAAATAAACGATCATTGGCTGAGGATATACATCTGTCGGTAAACCTGTCCGATAATTTTTAAATTTTTTTTTTATAATTTTACTTTTTGGATTGTGTAAAATTTCAGGTCGATTTGATAGTACTTGGTTTTTAGATCAAAACCTCAGAAGATTTTCTGGTTTGGGTCTCTATGGTCAAGGCTATTTAAAAGTCTTCAAACGTTTGTCCCAAAAGGTTTGGGTTTGGCCTAAGCCTCTTGAAGGCTTTTATATAGCCTTGGTCATAGAGGCCCTAACATTTAATAACATAATGCTTTAAAAACTTATGGAGAACTTTGGTTTACTTTAAGAAATCACTTAAGAATCATTGCCATGTCGGTCCAATTTTTTTATAGTCCCTATATAAGGGAAAATTCCGATTTCCGATATTTTTTGGGGTACAGTCGTATTTAATTTCTCCAAAATTTTGTTTTTTTTTGAGCCTTAAGAATCATTGCCTAAAAAAATGAGCCATGTCGGTCCAAGTTTTGTATAGTCCCCACATAAGAAAAAATCCCGATTTCCGATATTTTTTGGGGTATAGTCGTATTTAATTTCTCCAAAAATTTTGTTTTTTTTTGAGCCCTTATGTAGAAACGCTTCTAGCAAAAATTTTTCAATATGGGTCCTTGTATAAGAATGTCCTCCTGATTTTAGTTATTGCCAGGATTTTGGACAAATTTTCCAATCGATTTGAGCCTGAGCTCTTTTATTTTGATTTCTTCCGGGCTAGAATACCCTTCCGATGAAATGGCTTCCTTCGAAGACTCTTAATTGAACCTACTCAAAGCCTCTTCAGAGCTGTATCCTATTTAAAAATGCAAAATTAAAACAATCCTTACAGTCAATTAAGTCGTAGTAATTACAGCTCAAGTCCTTCCAAAAGATACTTCCTTAAGACGCTTCCTTGGCCAAAGTTTTGCAAAAACTCCACTGTGAGACTTTCAGATGCTTAAGCCTCCCCCATGGGTCTTGTTATCAAAGGATAAAATGTAGATTTTTCTCTAAAAAAAATTATTCATTGGAGTAAAGGCAGAAAATGCTAAGAAACCCCCCTCCCTTACCCTTCCTTCTCATTCCTACACTCTTTCACCTTTTCCTATGAAGGTGGCAATTAGAATATGGTACAACTGGTATTTCTCTCCCCACCTGCCCCTATCATTCCCATGATTTACTCATATTTCTCTCTTTATACATAAGCTTTCTTCTTCTTATCATCCATTATTACCTTCATTATTCGGTGCTGTGGACGATGCTTCCTTCTCCAGTGCATCCTTTGGCTTTATTAGATCCGTTGATTTGCTTGAGGGTATATATGGATCAGATATTTCACTTATACTTGAGGTTTTCAAATCCATTATGATGGAGCCAAGTCGCCAAGACTATTGGCTGATGGATGGATGGGTGGGTTGACTGGATGGCTGGCTTGAAGGCTGCTTGGCCCGTCCCGGTCGTCGTCTCTGATGATGCTGACGGGAAACGCTGTTTTCTTAATTTCCTTTCACTTTGGCTATTATTATTTTACTGCAACTTCCAAGGAATGTATGTGAGAGGTGTAACTCACACTTGTATGGTTGTGTGTGGGTAGGTGAGCGCGCCTTCAGGTAATGGACCAGCCAACAGAACTGTTACCACATGAAAATGGAATTGGATGTGTTTTTCTCTGTGCCAGGATTCTTTAAAAAAGATTTCATTCGTTGCGAATGTTATTTGAGCTTCTCTGTGGCAGTTGGATAGTTGCTGCAGCTGAACTTGGCCTCCAACAACTGGCCGTAGTGAAGAATGAATGCTGCTGTCGCTGATGTGCGTTTGAAGAATGTGTGTGTGTCTGGGGATTGGAGGTTTTCACCTGGGCAGCTGTATTATTAATTGACGTCGGCGGTACACCTTGTGGGTCCTGTAGATGTTTTCTCCCCTGGCGAGTTGTTGTATGTTATTGCTGTTATTGTTGTATGCAAATATTTCAAGTAATCATTACAAATATTGGATGCTGCTGCACATCTGTCACAATCACTGGCCAAGTTAATACTGATGGGGTTCGTGTTTTCTCTTTTCTATCCTAGCGTAGCATAAGTGGATCTGAAAGTGAAAAAAAAAACAAAAAAGAAAAGACCGGAAATCTATTGAATAAATTTATATATCGTTGTTTTTTCTTTCATTAACTATTATAATTATTTTCATATTACATATGGAGAAAGAGAAGGGGGGAGAGAGAGGAGAAGAGAAGAAGGGAAAGGTCTGTGTAATAAAAAATGCACTGTTACTGAAAAGCATTTGTTTGTACAGTCAATCTTGGATATTACGACTTTCATGGGAGCGATAAATTTTTATTAATTTTAAGTTTTGTTGGATTTCTAATTATCTGGATTTCTGTTCTATCAAGACATGAAATGGAAAAATATTAACTTTTTAAAAATTTCAATTTCATATCTCTTTGCTTCAGCGAAAATTTCTTTCATATTTTTATAGAACAAAAATTGAGGCCCTGATATTGAAGGATTGTATTTCCCTGAACTGAATTATTATATATAAAAACATGGATAAATTCCGTCAGAATCTGCATTTATAGAAAGTAACAATTTCTGGGTCTCAGCTAGGTACAATTAAATCAAGATAAAGTCATTTCAAATAATAATACAGGGGGGATGAAAAAACTGCAACCAACTTCAGACTGCTGTCATTTCTAAACCACTCGTCCGACAGCTGTTAAAATTATTACAGTGACAGATCATGATATTGTTTACAAGCGTACAAGAGTATTTTGGTGAGAACTTCCCAGAAAAAAAATTATTGGTGATGGAATTCAAGCGTAATAGTCCGATTTCTTAATATTTGCCTGGAAAACCAGTGGCTATCGTTAGAGCACTCCAGCATTTAAATGTGAATAAATCTTTTGGGTCTCGTACCATCGCTCGTTACCGTGAATGTGATACTGGTAGAGTAGCCGGATGTCAAGAAATTGGACAGAAGAAAGCAGCAACATCAGCGGAAATGGTTCGAAAAGTAAAGAAGCGACTTGATCGAAACCCGCGTCGCAGTGGCCGAAAAATGACTAGTGAGCTGAACATATCGCAATATTCCATTCGGTAAATATTAAAAAATGAGCTCGGGGTAAAGCCATTGAAATTTTAAAAAAGTGCAAGAACTTACACCGCAGCAGAAAGAAAATAGACTCAAAAGAGCTAAAGAGTTGTTTCGCTTGGCCGGAAGTGGTGAACTGCCGAATTTGGTTTTCAGCGATCTCCAATGAGAAAACATTCCTTGTCCAGCAGTTTGTAAACAAACAAAATTATCGTGTTTACTTGCCAAAAAGGTCAGCTTAAAATGTACACCTTCGGTTGGCCACCAGAACTCAAGCGCCGGCCATGGTGATGGTGTGGGCCGCCATAACAGCCAATGGTCGCTCTCCGCTCTTATTAATCGACCGTGGCATCAGAATAAATGACGAATATTATCGCGAAAATATTCTGGAGGATATATTAAAGCATTGGACACGCAAACATTTTGGCTGCAGACCTTGAAAAATTTACCTTCTTTGAAAACAGGTTCCCATCTCTGATCTGTATATATGTAGTAGATTTCTATACCCTCAATCATATGGTTAGAGAGGGTATATATCATTTGATATGGGCAAACTGTGCACTATCGAAATCTCTTTGGACCAAATCCGTTTCAGGACATTTGGAGTCGATCTAGCGATGTCCGTACGTCTATCCGTCTGTCTGGCTGGTGCGAATGATAACTTTCGAAGGGAGCATCTGATTTGGTCCTAACTTGGTGCATCGCAATATTATTATCAAACTTAGATCGATTTCAGAGATGGGCAAGATCGGTCCACACCTTCTGGTACCTCCCCCAAAAAAATTAAATATTTTCAAAAAAAAAAAAAAAAATGGCTGCGGAGAAACAGAAAAGATAATCTAATTTTGTTTCCAACTTTGCAAACCCTAGTATTTGCATCAGGGCTAAGTCAGGTGCGAAAATGAAGAACAAATCGAGGGTTTAAATTTTTAATAGTTTTAACTCTTATAAAATATGATGTGAGATTCCGATTGTGTCCAAATTACACGGATCAAAATATTATTATAAACAAAGGGTCTGCTTAGAAAATGAGATATATCGGTCGATTCCTTCGGGTATCTCCCCCAAAAAGGGTCAAAATTTTGAATATACACAGAGCTCACAAAAAAAAACACGAAATAAATATCCGATGCCCTTCAAACTTGTCACATCTTAATATTTCCATCAACACAAGATCTGTTTTAAGCATGGTAGAGATCGAACCATTCCTTCTGGTACCTCCCCCACAAAGGGTCAAAATTTTGAATAACCAAAACGATCATAAAATCCGAAATAAGTATCCGGTTCTCTTTAAATTACACACATCACAATATTTTTACTAATCCAAGGTCTGGTATGAGTATTGGATATATCGGCCCACTCCTTCTGGTACCTCCTCCACAAAGGGTCAAAATTTTGAAAAGCAAAACGCTCAAAGAAAGCGAAATAAGCATCCAACTCTCTTCAAATTTCACACATCCTAACATTTTTGCTAACACAACATCTGTTGTGAAGATGATAGATATCTGCCAACCCCTTCTGGTACCTCACCTACAAGGGGTCACAATTTCACATATTATATCTGTCATAACTTGCGAAACAAGTCGGCGATTCTATACAACTTGATATATCCCAATATTGTTTTTTAACCAGAAACCTGAAATGGGTATGGAATTAATCGGAATTTATCATTGCGCATTAATTTGGATATAAATGTTCGATTTCCTTCAAATTTTGCGCGTACCAATATTTTTATCTGTATTAGATGAAGTATGAATGTGGAATACGTCAGTTCGCTATATCTGGTACCTCACGACTATTTCGACATTTTTCAAAAATGTTTGCACATATCCCATATAAAGTATGGAAAGTAGACGATATAGTCCAAATATGGCTCTTTGTAATATTTACATCAAATTTAGGTCAGATACGAATTAGTCGACCGCTTGGGAACCTTCTCCTTAAAGGGTCAAGAGTTTAAATAGCCATAATTCAAGGCTGGGGGTATACATCTGTCGGCAGAACCGACTGATACTTTTTAACTTGTTTTACTGTATTAGATGAAGGGAAATGTTTCGGTCCGCTATATCGGGTACGACAGGCATATTTCCACATTTTTTAAAAATTCGCACATATCTTATTTATATAAGCATAGGAAGTAGTCGATATAGCCCAAATCTGGCACGTTGTAATATTTTTATTAGTCTTAGGTCAGATAGGAATTTGACAATATTAATATTGGCCAACTGCTGCGGAACCTCCACCATAAAGGCCAATAGTTAGAATAATTATAACTCAGGGCTGGTGGTATATATCTGTATTATATAAAATCAAAAATTGAGGGAGATTACTTTTTGAGATGCTATAAGCTCCGATCTGCATTTTCTGAAAGTAGATCTTCCTTCAAAATCGTTGTGCCTGAAAGTTTTTTTGTACAGTTGATTTTAAAAGAATTTTGGCCTGCTAGGGCATTTATTAAAGAATTTGTGGAGAGATCCGATAATTTAGCGCATTTGCCTCTTAGACCAGATTCGGCGCCAAAAAACTAAATGACTCATTTTCTATTTGCTATCAGAATGTGAGGGGGCTTAATACAAAATTAACCAGTTTATATACTGATAGCATTGGTTTCAATTATAATGTATTGGTTTTCTCCGAAACTTGGTTAAAAACATCTATATTAAATAGTGAAATTTTATGTTCAAAATATCAAATATATATACTGATTTTCACCGCACGAATTATTCAATGGGCGAACCTCTTAATAAAATGTGTGTTGACTTTAATTCTGTGTATTGTAATGTAGATTTTTGTATGAGTTTAGAAGTTATTAAATCTAGAATAATTTTATTTTTAAACAATTAACATACATGTTTTATTATTTGACAAACTAGCTGATGAATTAGATACTGTAGCTGGTTTTCAATTTCCTACTGAATTCCCATTATGATGCGGATCATGATGTGTACGCGAAAGAAAAGGGAGGTCGCCCCCTCGGTCGGCAGGGGTGGGAATGTGAGGCGTGGGAACGTTCGAAAAAAAAAAAAAAATCGACTGATACTATTTGACTTGTTAATATTTTAATCGGAAAGAAATCGGCTGGATTGTTTTTCTATGAAAATATGAAATGGAAAATAATTTATTTGAATAAAATTGTTTTTACCAAAGTTTCACTTCATAAGACAATAAATGAGCTCTGTAAAAATTGTATACAAAATTTGCAACTCAAAATTGTTCCTTATAATAAAGTCCCACTGTCTGCTAACTTTACGTTTTATTTATCATATGTAAATCAATTATTTTTATTATTTTTTTTTGCAATATCCACAGTCAGGCGAGGAGTATAATTGCTTCTGTTTTTTTAATTGTGGTAACTCTGAGTTTCTAATCAGTTAAGGAAATGGCTAATTTTGATTTATGGGATTGACAATCGAATAACCCTTGGGAATATTCTCATTTGTTTTGTACGAAGTATTTAAGTTAGCAAGCCGTTAACAAGATCTCAAGAAATAATCACCCAAGTGATTATTGATATAATGACCTGAAAGAAACTGAGATTTGATGACGTCAGTTTGATTGAGTTGTCAAACGAATGACAAGTTGAACATGAAATGGAAAAATCCATAAAAAAGGTTAAATTGAGATATACGAATACATTAATTAGCCTGTCTGGATTGTGATTGATTTCAAGGCAAAGTTCGCAGAGATCATGGATATTCAAAGATTAACCAGGAAGGGAGTACATGGAATAGAGAAAAAAAGAGATATAAGGTAGAGAGGAAATATCTCTAAAATTGCAGAAAATCACAAATTAAATACAATTTAATCTATTTGTTGAAGACCTATTAAAAATGTATTTTACGGGCAGAAGACATATGAAAACACTTCTGTTCCAGAGCGTACAAAAATCGAATACAATTAACATTTGGCAACTCTTTATTAGAAATCGTTCTTATACACGAAAATTAGTAAAAATTAGCCTTTAGTTATGCTCAGAAGCAGTTGGCCAATTCGAATCT